AATTTAATTTAATTTAATTTAATTTAATTTAATTTAATTTAATTTAATTTAATTTAATTTTAAACAGGCTCCACACCCAACGTGGGGCTTGAACTCATGATCCTGAGATCAAGAGTCTCATGCTTTCCCAATTGAGCTAGTCAGGCACCCCGACAGTCTTGCTTGTTGTGATTTTTTTTTAACTTCAAAAATGAAGAGGTCTTAAGTCTTTTTTCTTTCTTTCTTTTCCTTTTTTCTTGTGTAGCTGTTCCAAGTGAAATAACTGGAAACATTCAATTCTAACATCAACAATAATAGTAGCCACTAATATTTATATTTGAGCATGCACTATGAAACGAGTATTGTCCCAAAATGCTTGATATGTGTCATCTCATGAGACAGGTGCTATTCTTATCTGTATCTTGCATCAGGGAAAACTGAGGCTCAGCGAAGCTCACTGACTTGGCTAATGTCACACACCTGGAAAGCAGCAGTTTTCCAGAAAATTTCAGTCCATTTCATTCCCCAGTCCATGTTTTTCATCCCTGCACCATATTGTCATACATATGACTTTCAACTAATCCAATTTATCATCCATACATCGGTCAACCGTACCTCTTGCCTTTCCCATGGAGCAGATATCTTCATGGGGCAGGGGGATAAAGTGATTAGAAGTTTCCTCATTTGGGGAAGATCCCCATTTTGGGAGATGCTGTCTTTCAGAAAGTGGTTATTACTTCCAAATACTCCAATTGTTCCCAACTATAGATATGGAAGTAGTTTCTTTCTTTCTTAGAGATCATGACTTCCTTTAAATTATAAATTTCACATGCACCTAAGAAGCCCCAGAGAAGAATCCTACCTATTTTTACTAAGGCCAACTTGTGAAACCTACATTTTCGAAAATGACAAGCATTATAGGATTAACACTACTTTGAACTTTCATAAAATAGTCATCAAAATTTAGAACTTGAAAGAGGCACGGTTCCAGTGAAAACTATTATTATTGAACAAGCAATATCTTTCTAGGCTATGAAGATAGATAGCACCCATAAAAAGATATGGCATCCACATTCAGTTTTTAGCCTGTGAAATAATGAACAAGAATCACAAATTAAAAAAAAAAAAAGGAAGTTCAACTTCATACAATAAAGAGCAAACATATGTAAATCATTACCCCCTAATAGATCCCACATGCTTCATAAATAGTTTGAGTAAATTCACCATTTCAAATCCACAATAAGCTAACAGGAACCAGGATTCGGGTGGGAAGTGGGAAAGTTGAAGACAGGAGGCAAGATTTGCACTAACATTTGAGGGAACTATGTTGTTCCCTTACTACTTGTCCTTTGTCCAATCATCATCCATCACAAGGATACTGTTACCCAGAACCAAAATTCTCATGATTTTATCAAGTGCAAAATCTGCTGAGGATGGCATCTACCCCAGTTTAGTGCCCAGGAATCCATACAGCACTCCCCTGGTGGCTGAAATTCACAGACACAGACATCCGAGAGCATACCTTTTTCTTCTTTTTACAGGTGATACTAGATTTCTTGCTATTTTTCCAAATAGATCTGAAGGTTTCTGAAGAGATTTGAGGAGTGACTGTAATTTTTAAGACTGGACATTTACCTGATGGGGGAAAGAACATAATAGTAAATGCATAAGATATTTCACAGCTCCATTTAGTGGAGTAAGTCTGGGGCTTCTGAGAGGGGCATTCTCCCACATTCTTATTAACTGGGCAATATTCCTTTCACTTAATACCTTTTCCCTATATCTATATCTATATAGTTGTTTCTGTATTTATTTTGAGAGGGGGAGAGGCAGACAGAGAGGGAGAGAGAGAATCCCAAGCAGGCACCACACCCTGTGGGGAGTCTGATGCCCGACGTGGGGCTTGATCTCACAAGGTCATGATCTGAGCCAAAATCAACAGTTGGAGGCTCAACGGACTGAGCCACCCAGGCACCCCTCCCTCTTAATGTGAGTGATCCATAACAATTTATTTCTGTAATAACTTCTTACCCTAGTCCTTTCTTTTCCATTCCTACTGTCATATGTTTACCTGGATAATTCTAGTGGCCTTCTAACTGGTCTTCCTAGCCTCAGACTTTCCCAGCCCCAAATCCATTCTGGGCTCTACTTCCAGATTAATCATCTGAAAGTGAAATTCTAATCTTGTCTTTCATTGCCTCTAATACTTTATTGGCTCATCATCTTTTTTTTTTTTTTTTTTTTGAGGGGGAAAGATTGCGCATGAGCAGGGAAGGGACAGAGAGAGAATCCTAAGCAGGCTCTGCACTGTGAGTGCAGAGCGAGATATGGGGCTCGAATTGCGAGATCATGACCTGAGCAGATATCAAGAGTCACCACTTAACCGGCTGACCTACACACGCTCCCCTGGCCCTTCATCTTTAGTGGATCTCTCTTGGTTTTTCTTGTCCAGCTTGCATTTTAGCTTCTTTCTGGAACAGAATCTCGAATTTACTTTGGGGTTCCACTCCCCTGTGCTCTCAGGCTAGACAGGTACATAACCCAAATCTGATCAATTAGTGGATTTATTCTCCCTGGCACAGTGATGTGTTAACAGCTATGCATGTGACTCATGATGGTCCAATGAAATCAGGAGAAAGGCTCTTTCTTAGCTTAAACTGGCACAATGTAAACTTCTAGCTAGTGCTACCCAACTTGCCACTGTGCGGGAAGAACCTGCTTGAGAATATAGTCAACACAGAAGCAGAACTTCCAGGAGATGAAGGTAGGTAGTGTTACTTGAGCCCCTGAATCCACCTGGACCTGTAGCTAGAACCACCCGTGGGCTTTTAGTTATATGGGTCAACAATTTGTGTGTGTGTGTGTGTGTGTGTGTGTGTATACTTAAATCAGTTTGAGTTGGTCTTGTATCACTTGAGACCAAGATTTCTCACTGATTTTCCTATACAGACCTGCAATATTGTGATTAGAAGAAATATATATTTGGTCATTCATATTTCTCATATATATTTGGTCTTTGTCCGTGGTTCCTGGCTCCCAAACCCTTGGAACTTCCTGAGCAATAAGAGCAATGGGAGCATCTTTTCTTATAAGATTTGGTCTCTTAGGTGTATGTAGGGGAATGGGTGAAATAGGTGACGGGGTTAAAAAGTACACATCACGATGAGCACTGAGTCATGTAGAGAATTGTTCAATCACTATATGGTACACCTGAAACTAATATAACACTTATGTTAGCCACACTGGAATTCATTTAAAAAAGATTTGAAAAATATAACATTTGGTCCCTTGTTCTCAGTTCCTGAAAACACCTTAGAGCCACAAAGGGGAAATGGGTGCCTTATAATTCATAACAAGCCCCTTTCCACCACACCGGAGTTTATGATAATGAGGTGATTTTTGGATAGCACCTAAGGATAGGGCTGGTTGCCAAGGGAAACCAACCATAAATAGAGGGTTAAAACCTTCAGTCCTACCCCCTGATTTCCAGGGAGGGGAAAGGGGCTAGAGGTTGAATCAATCACCAGTGGTCAAGGATTTAATCAATCATGCCTCCTATGTATGAAACCTCCATAAAAACCCAAAGGACAGGATTCAAAGAGCTTCCAGGTTGGGAAACCAGAATGCTTCTGTGTGCCACCATGCTGGGCCCCAAACTCCATGAGGACAGAGTTCCTTTGTTTGAGACCTCACCCTCTAAATATCTCTTCATCTGGCTATTGATTTAATATCCTTGTAATAAACCAGTAATCCAGTAAATAAACTGGTTTCCTGAGTCCTATTACCTGTTCTAGCAAATTAATAAAACTCAAGGAGGGGGTCATGAGAACCTCAGATTTACAGCCAGCCAGTCAGAAGCATAGTAACAATTTGGACTTGTGATTGGTGTCTAAAGTGGTGGTGGCGGGGAGGGGATAGTCTCGTGTGACAGAGCCCTTAACCTGTAGAATCTAATGCTATCTCCAGATAGGTAGGGTCAGAATTGAGTTGAATTGTAGGACACCCCGCTCACATTTGGCAGTTGTTTCGTGGTCAGGGGAAAGACCTACGCCCACACATCAAAACTGGGGTCAGAATAATAAGACTCAAATACCTAGTATGCCATTCCGAGAGCCTGTGTCAGCCCATCATTCTTTTATTTCCCATGGCACTTGCCCTTCTCCCCCTTCCTGTTTCTCATCTAGCCAAATGTCCAGGTCCTGCTTGCATCACAGGTGCCCCAAGCTGTAGTTTGTGGAGGCCAGAATACACCAGGAAGAGGCTAGAAGCAGACAGGTAAGTAAGACATATGGTTGAGAGGAAAATTATGAACCTTAAAAATAGTACTGAATGTCACCTCCAGAGGGTCAGTTGAGGTTGAAACATGAAAATGGTTGTAAGGGTGTGAGAACAAATCAGGCTGGGCATAGTAAAAGGTAGTGGAGGGCAAGGTGGATGAATATGGATAAGGGACCAGGAGGTATAAGACAATACAGTTTGTAATTTCAAGGCTTGGAAAGGGCCAGAAACCATGTCGCTGGGGGCTTGAGTGGTACATATGTGCCTGGAAGAGAAGCAAAGTCAGTGTCCTATTTGGATGTTTTCCTCTGGTGAGCAGTGCTTATTGATGCTTGGTGTGCTGGGGTCATTCCATCCTACATACAGGTCATCACAAAAAATCAGGTGGGGTCGCAGGGAAAGTTGCTCTGGAACCTCAGGGTGGGGCTGGGCCATAACAAAATCTAGGGCAAGAAGTCTCCCAGGAACGTGCCTAGATTGAGAGGTTGAGCAGTAGCCCTTCATGTTTCCTGGGTCTGATTTTGGCCCAGTGTCTTCCATGTTTCCTTGTAGAGCAGCAGGTTATACAGACATAAGTCTGCTAGGTGACATGAGGGGCCATGCCAAATGTCTAATATAGACCTTGGTGTCTCACTTGGGCCACTCCAGAGGGGTCACTGGCTGCAAAGGCCTCTTTGACCACGTCTAGGGTAGAAAGGACCAGTGGACCTATTTATTGCAATCTAAAAGAGCTTAAGGCAAATACTTCTAGTTCCCTGCCTAATATCTTTTCTGACTTTATTTTCTTTCTTTCTTTCTTTCTTTCTTTCTTTCTTTCTTTCTTTCTTTCTTTCTTTCTTTCTTTCTTTCTATCTATCTATTTTCTTTATCTATTTTGAGAGAGAAAGAGGGAGAGAGGATGTGAGCAGGGGAGGGGCAGAGAGAGGAGAAGAGAGAATCCCAATCAGGCTCTGTGCTGTCAGCGCAAGCCTGATGTGGGGCTTGAACCCACAAATGGTGAGATCATGGCCTGAGCCTAAACAAAGAGTCAGGCGCTTAAATGACTGAGCCACGTAGGCGCCTCTGACCTTATTTTCTAACAGAGCTCACATTTTTCTTATGGCAGCAATGTTCCCAGTTAAAAATTAGGGATGAGCATGTGACATGCTTCTGGCCAACTGCAAATAAGCAAAAGTTGCTGGGGATTTCTGAGATTCCCTCATACAGGTACCAGCACTATCTCCTTGTCCCTTTCTTCTTCTTCTGGTCTGGAATGGAGATGGGAGGCTTTCAGTGAAGCAGCCACCTTAAAACTATGAGGATAAAAACCACCTGCTAAGGTGGTTGGTGGAGAAAGAGAAAGGAATGATGTTGGGGCACATCTGTACCTGCTCAGTCTTCCTCTACTTGATTAAGCCACTATAGCTGGTTCTATTCCCTGTAGCCAAACATCATCTCTCACTGATGCAGAATTTAACAGCAAATAGGTATAAATCATCGTCATGGAGAAAAACAAAACTCAGAGTTATTAAAAAAAAAAAAGGCAAGCACAAATGTAGAGGAGGACGGAGCTTCAAGAGGAAAACAAGGTCTAAAGTCTTGATCACTGTGAAGCTGAGGGAGCAGTGTGGGATGCATGGCTCATATGTGAGTAGTGCCGGGGCTGCAAACCACTTAAAATGGGGCCAGGAGTATGGCAGGCGGGGCCAGCTTAAGGCCTCAGAGGATTCACGTGGCAGCCAAACTCACAAAAGACTGTCATGATCCCTGAACACCACATTTTTGGTCATCCTTTTCGCTTTTCTTTACGAAACTCTAGCCATACGGCAATGCTCTATAGCGTGTGAGGCCTTCAGTTCCTTAGTGGAAGCTGAGGTGATTTCAGACAGTATTAGATATTGACATGGAATTATTTAACAATGAATCACATGGTAGAAAGCTATGCACTTGGGACGCCTGAGTGGCTCAGTCAGGTAAGCGTCCAACTTCAGCTCAGGTCATGATTTCGCAGTTCGTGGGTTTGAGCCCCATGTTGGGCTCTGCGCTGACAGCTCAGAGCCTGGAGCCTGCTTCGGATTCTGTGTCTCCCTCTCTCTCTCTCTCCCCCCCTCCCCCAGTCTCTCTTTCTCTCTCTCTGTTTCTCAAGAATAAACATTGAAAAAGATTTTTTTTAAAAAGCTATGCACTTTTCAATTCTCTAAAAATGTAATCAAAGTAATGCATACATATAGCTAAAAAATCAAATAGGGCTAAAAAGTTCATACTGAAAAACAACAGACCCTTTCCCTTCCCTCAGGCTTTTCCTCCAAAGAAAACCACTTTTAACTCATTCAGCTGTTATTTTTTTCTTTTGTATTATTTTTTTTTGGTTTCACGTT